GAATGTTCTGTCAAAAGTTTCAATTAACTTTCGGACCTCGATGGAATAAACACAATTATCTGCAGATTAAATTAGAGATTCCTCAGAACAACACGTGAAGCACAGGCATTTGTTTCATGTTGGTAATTCTTCTTTTTACTAAATGTGAAGTAAGAATGTGAAAACAGCAAGTTAGCTAAAAGAAATGTCGTTTTTAGGTGATTAAAAAAACATTTACAAGTTTGAGGGGGTTTGAGGATTTAAATGCATCACCTACAGGGAGAAATGATGGAACGATGAGGAGCATCACAAGACGTGGGATTATTTATCTGAATTAATAATGATTGCTTCATTGTCATACCAAGTTTAAAATAATTCAAATTTGGTTCATTGAATCGTCATAAAATACCTCAACCGAAAACTGAAATAAAAAATTAAGTATTTAAAAATACCAGTAAAAATGGAATAAATAAAGGCACATAAGGTTTTTCCACCCTGTGCTGCAGCTCAGTTCGGGGCCAACGCCATCCTGGGAGTGTCCCTGGCCATCTGCAAGGCCGGCGCGGCGGAGAAAGACGTCCCCCTGTACCGCCACATAGCCGACCTGGCGGGAAACACGGAGCTCGTGCTGCCGGTTCCCGTAAGACAGAAACGTCTTCATTGATTTTGGAAAAAAAGCACATTTCCATGTCTCCTTGTTTTTTGCCGTCCCCATTTCTCCGTCCTCTCATTCGCTGGCCACTCTTTTCTTTTCTGTCCCTTCTTGTGTATGGATTTCCTCCTCTTCTCACGCCTCCTTGTTTCATCTACTTCGTCTCCTCGCTCCCTCTCCCCTTCAGGCCTTTAATGTGATAAACGGAGGATCTCATGCAGGCAACAAACTGGCCATGCAGGAGTTCATGGTCCTTCCTGTTGGAGCCGAGTCTTTCAAGTAAGAATTCATCCCCCAAAACGGTTCCATGTCTCCATTTGTCCAAAGCCTTTCCCTTTTTCTAACCCCCCTCTGCCGCAGGGAGGCGTTGCGGATAGGATCCGAGCTGTACCACACGCTGAAGGAGGTGATCCAGGAGAAATACGGGCAGGACGCCACCAACGTGGGAGACGAGGGAGGATTTGCTCCCAACATCCTGGAGAACAGTGAGGGTGAGGATCCTCTGTCGCCGTTGGTTACCACCATGGGGCAAAGTTTACCCCCCTGTGGCCTGTGGAGAAAACGAGCGCATGTCTCTCGCAACGAGAGGGGTTGACATTCAATCTCTTCCCCTCGCTCCTCAGCTCTGGATCTGCTGCAGACGGCCATCGAGAAGGCCGGCTTCACGGACAAGGTGGTGGTTGGGATGGACGTGGCCGCCTCCGAGTTCTACCGCGAGGGAAAATACGACCTGGACTTCAAATCGCCGCCGGATCCCCAGAGACACATCTCCGGAGAGGAGCTGGCGGACATCTACCAGGGCTTCGTCAACAACTACCCAGGTGGGCCGTTGGGTCTTTTAGCTGGGCCTGCGGGTCGGTGACCCACAGGAAACCGCCTTCAACCCGCCCCTCCTCCCTCCTTTCCCAGTGGTCTCCATCGAGGACCCGTTCGACCAGGACGACTGGGAGGCCTGGTCCCGTCTGACGGCCCAGGTGGGGATCCAGGTGGTGGGAGACGACCTGACGGTGACCAACCCGAAGAGGATAGAGAAAGCCGCCGAGGAGCGAGCCTGCAACTGCTTGCTGCTCAAAGTCAACCAGATCGGCTCCGTCACCGAGGGCATACAGGCGTACGTTAGAAACCCTCAGACAGGTCTCCCCCTCCTGGTCCACCTTATGACAGAAGATACAGATGATTAGAGAAGGTGGCCTATGGGGAGATACCTGAATGTGTTGTTATCACGCTGCGTCTGATCGCTCGCCCCCCCCCCACAGGTGTAAACTGGCTCAGGCCAACGGTTGGGGGGTGATGGTCAGCCACCGCTCGGGAGAGACAGAGGACACCTTCATCGCCGACCTGGTGGTGGGACTCTGCACCGGACAGGTGGGGACGCCAAGTCACGTGACCACGCTGGTTTTCTCTGGGTTCTGATCTTTTGTTCGACCCGTCTGTGTTGCAGATTAAGACCGGCGCCCCCTGCAGATCGGAGCGGCTGGCCAAGTACAACCAGCTGATGAGGTCAGAGGGCCACGCTTCACCCTTCACTTATCGAACACAGGACGCCGCCGCCTGAGTCCCGTGACTTCCTGTTTCTTGTAACGCTGATCTTTTTCATGACCATAAGTGGTTCGTTTTGTTCACTAAACCTTCCCGATCGCTTGTGGTCGGTCAATAACCAACTACTGCGCTATATTTTTATCATCCTCATCACCAGATTTATTTCCTCTCGTAAACTTTGGATGGCAAATTTGTCTTAATGTAATAACTATTTTCCTTTAAACTGAAAACCCCCAAAACAAGACAGTGATGGAAAATCCTTTTTATTATGATTCTACGTCTGAATCTCCTGAGGCTCCTGGTCTCAGCATCACACGCCAAGCGCTGTGACCGGCGACGCCCCGTGTGGCCGAGCCAATCAGCAGCAAGGCAAAGGGAGGAGGGCGAGGGAGGAGGAGGGAGGAGGTGGGAGGAGGAGGCATCAGCTCAGTGTTGTAATCCCATCGGACCGCTGAGGAGACGCGGGGGAGGCGCAAGGGGGAGAGATTTACAGGGGAATTAACCAGCGATAAACGCTAATCGGTGTGGTGAAGCGTGCGCGCGCACACACACACACACACACACACACACACACACACACACACACTGTTAGTCATAAATGAGTCACATAAACTGTGGCATGTTGAGATAAAATGGCTTCTTTATTTTGAATCCAGCAATTTAATATCACATTTCCACACATTTCAGGGATTCGTGAGTTTTTGAAAGAGAAATAATTTGTTTACTTTTATTGTTTCCTTTAGGCAACAAGCTCCAAAAATCTGCTTTTTCCTGAATGCATCTCCTGATAAACCTCCTTTGCAGACACGCGGGCTAAAAATAACTGACAATGACAACAGATATTTATTTTTTAAACGGGTATCTGCCTCTTTAATCCTTAGGGAGGCAATATAAACTATCAAATGGACAACTGTTGCTCAGCAGACTCCGTGGTTTCACTCTGCTCAGTCACGTGTCAGACGTGTTTCGCCTTTAAAACAATCTTTCTCCTTGTGCCATCTCATCCTCTGCAGGATCGAGGAGGAGTTGGGCGACCAGGCTCGCTTTGCAGGCCATAACTTCAGGAACCCAAGTGCCCTGTGAACCTGACATTGGAATGATTCACACGCACGCACGCACACACACACACACACACACACACAAAAGCACTGACTGACTCGCCCAAACATGGGAACGAGCCATGCGCATTGAAATATAACAAAGACGCGTGAAAAAACACACGAGCAAAATAACCACGCAAAAACTAAAACATGATTAAATAAATTATGCACTGGACTTTGGGGGATGATGCTGTACGCACACGCACGCACACAGACACACACACACACACACAGATAGAGTAGGCTGATGCAGCTTGTGCACATCGAAACATGTAATTTATAAGCCAGACATGCACTGTTACTGTAGTTTTAATAGTTCAGCAAAGAGAGAAACAAGTAGAGATATAAGAGGAAACTTTAAACTGAGACACGCGGCGGAGAAACGTTCATCACCAAGTGAGGACGATCAGAGAAAGAAACACAAAACATTGCTCAAGTAGTACACAAACACAGCTACACACTCAGCTGTGTCTCACTCTCACCTGGACACTGAAGTACCTGCACCCCCCCCCGTCCACCCCGTCCCCCCCGTCCCCCCCGCCCCCCCCTTTTCTCTCCTCTTTCTCCTCGTCGTTTTTAAATCCCTCTCTCTCCTTCTGTCCGATGTGGTTCGGATTCATTCCTACTTTGTGCTGGAGAAGAAAACACAACCCCCGAATCCCTTCGTTCCTTCTGTTCCTCCTCAATGTCTGTAGAGTAGATGTGTTGAAAACACGCGAGAACATGAATAATAAAAAGAGAACGCTCGTCATTGAAAATAATGTGAAAATATGTGAAATAAAAAGATGTTAATTTACAGTTTCAATCACAGTTAAGAGTTTTGTCTTTTCTTGTGTCAGTGATTCTTTCTTTGCTATTTTAACGCCTCACGTTGTCTCATTAGGCAGACAATGTAAACAAGTCAAATAAATGAATGAGTGTGGACGTTACTGCCCGTGTACATTTACAGTCAATTTATTTGACAGTAAGTTACTGTAAAATACATTATTGTGAAATGTCAACTATGCATTACTGTGATGTAGTGGAATACTACGGTAGGAACGACTGGGACGCGGCGTTAATGCAGAATTCTATGTTTATTAGAAAGATTTTCAACAAACATTTGTTCTTTTTACAGAGGAACTGCAAGTGTAAAACAAAATGCAGCCGAACCCGCTGGAGTAAAAGGAAGATTAAAGGTCTTTTCTCAGGTCCGTCCGCCGTCGTTTTGTCCCGGTGAGACGGGGTGGGGGGGTCTGGGTGGTCTGGGTGGTCTGAGGGGTCTGGGGGGGTCTGAGGGGTCTGGGGGGGTCTGGTTGTTAGCAGGGGAACCGAGATGGCAGCTCTACCTCAAAAGAACAGTCTCTGCAGGTGCAGCTTGCTCAGAAAAACAAAAAAAACAAAGTAAAATGAAGAAAAATAAAGACACTGTACATCAACCCTCCGTTCTAATGTGTTAATCTATTAAATACAAATGAATGTACATATCAATCTTTCATCTAAATAAGTGCAGGGCTCTTTTTTACTGGTCGAAGACAATACAAATCAATTTGTAATCCTACAGTCTTATGTTCAATATTCAACTGTCCTTTCTTTTTGTTAATGGTCAAACATCTAAACGTGTTTAATTGACACTCGATAGGAGCTTATTTCGTGCTCGGTAATCATTTTGAACAGCACGCTACTTTTCAGTGTTTAAATCATCCTCACAACAATAAAACTCTCTGTTACAGCGCGACGCGTCGCCCTCCGCTCGCCTGACGCCATTTACACAACGTGACCCAACGCCGCATCCGCAGGTTTGCACAAGCGAGCGAGCGAGGAAGCGGCAGAGAGGGAGAGAGAGGGAGCTCTGCACCAACGGATCCGCTTGTCTAGTAGTCTATCTCCCTCCCCTCCTCCCATCCCCTCCCCTCCCTCCCCCCCCCCCAGCCCGGCGGTGTCCTCAGTTCCAGAGTTTGAGGAAGCTGTCCCAGGATCCCGTGCAGACGCCCATCCCGTCCGCGGGGACGCCGGTGCAGCTCACCCTGTTGTCGTGGCCGGAGAGCACACCTGGAGGAGAGGAGGCGAGAGAGGAGGTGAGAGAGGAGGCGAGAGAGGAGGCGAGAGAGGAGGCGAGAGAGGAGGCGAGAGAGGAGGCGAGAGAGGAGGCGAGAGAGGAGACAGGGGGACGAGCTTCACTTTCAACGGGTTTTTTTTGGCCCCCGGCTGTTTTTCGCCTGGGGTCTCATCTGGGACCGCTGACCCAAATTGCCCCGCTCACCAACTTTCTCCCCCTTCAGTGAGTCCCAGATGTGGCAGTTGAAGTCGTCGTAGCCGGCGAAGATGAGGCGGCCCGAGCTGGAGAGCGCCAGAGACGTGACGCCGGCGTTCAGGCTGGCGTCCTGGTAGCTCATCAGCTCCTGGTCGGAGCGCAGGTCGTACATCTTGCAGCTGCAGTCGTCGGAGCCGGTGACGATGCAGTTTCCATCGGGGTAGTACTGAGGGGGGACGTGGGGAACACGCGTGACGGTTAAGGGGGAAAACACGCGGACGGGTCAGTGATCACGTGAAATGGGTGGTGTTGTCCTGGGAGGCCTCTAAGGACGTCCTACCACTGGACAAAAAAAGTCCTCTTTGTGGACATAATGTCGCTCTTTGTGGTTGTCCTCACTCACTTGGAGCCTTTTTGCATTCACCGACTATCTCTTTGTTGTCATTTGAAGGCTTTTTGTAGTCTTTGTGTGTGTTATTTGCTGTCATTTTGTGTCTCTCGTTAGCTCATTTGTGTTTCTTTGTCGGCACTTTGAGAATCTTTCTAGTTTTCTCTCTTTCCCTTCTGGTCATTTTTGCGGTTCTTATCATCTAAAGCCATGCGGAATGTCAGCTGACATAGCGAGCAGCGGTATCGACAGAAGCTGAGTGTGACGATGCGTCGTGCGCTCACGGAGATGGCGTTGATGTCGCTGGTGTGTCCGGAGAAGGTCTGCTTGCAGACCCCTTCCCTCAGGTCCCACAGCTTGGCCAGAGAGTCGCAGGCTCCGGAGATGAAGGTGTTCATGTCGGAGGAGAGGGCCAGCGACATGCAGTCTCCGATGTGGTTGGTGAAGATGATCTTCTGCTTGCCGGTCTCCAGGTCCCACAGACAGCTGCAGGGGGACAGGAAGTAGCGTGAGTATCGGCCGCGTCGTTCACTCAAACATTTACATGAACGCAGTCGTCTGCTCCGCGTTTCGCTCCGATGTCGTCCAGCATTTGAACACATGCAAAGTCAACGATATTCAATGTGAATTCACGCAAAAGCTCGGGGCCAAAAGACGTGGCGTTGCCACGGCGAGAAAGGTATTGCAGATGTTTCCCGGGATGAACTCACCAGGTGGTGTCACCAGAGGCTGTCAGGATCTCGGTGTCGCTAAGGAAACGGCAGCAGGACAGGTAACCTGGGAGGGAAATCCACACCTCAGCCCCACCGAAATTCAATTCATGTCTTGTTGCACGCTCATAGGTGCTGTGACCCCCGGGGTCACGGTGAGGGTTATGAAGTTTCCTGCTCACCTGTGTGTGCGTCCAGCTCCCTGAGGGTCTTGGGGCTGGCGGACTTGATGTTGCAGACGGTGCACATGTTGTCCAGACCGCCGCTGGCCACCAGGTTCCCGGAGGGGGCCAAAGCGACGCTCATCACCCAGGCCGACTTTAGGGGGACAGCAACCAGCTGGCGAGCGGACATTTAAGTTTAGTTCATTGGAGGCCTCCTTCAGGTGCGGAGTGGTGGATGAGTGAGTTCTTAAGCCTGGAAACGCTCTTCTGTTTGTCATAGTTTAGTTTATATTTGTTATGGTTTATATTGTTGTTTTATACCGTAAATGTTCAAATAGATTGATGTGATGTTTGAATCCTTCCTCCACCACTGGATGTCAGTGTGTCTCCACCAGAAACGCCATAAAAACAGATTCAACAGGACGGTGTGATCTCACCTTGTTCCCTGTGAAGGTGTCCCAGACCAGAAGCTTGCCATCCTGTGAAGCACTGACCATTGACCTGAGGGAGAGAGAAGGAAGACTTATCGAGGAGGATCCCATCAATGCTGAAAGTTCCACATCTCTGTGGTTCCAGTGAGACACAGCGGTTTATTTTAGTGCTTTGAAGAGAGAATAATCAAGAATTAAACCTGGGGATGTTAAATTAAACCATGTCTCAAGGCTTTTTATCTGCACCGCGGTGCTTTACTGGCACTCTTTAACAGTTTGTTGTTTACTGAGGCTTTTTAGGAGATGGTGGTTTGAACAGAAGTGGTCCTGTCGACCTCCTGGTCCTCACCTGGAGTCAGCAGCCCAGTGCAAGGAGTAGATTTTAGCCAAGTGTCCCTTGAGCGTCTTCCTCAGCTTCAGCTGGACTCGGCCCACCTCGGACGCCCCCCCTGATGCTGCGGTCATGCTGCCGTCGTTCACGGCCTTACGGGCCGCCTGGTGGTCACATGGGAAATCACACCTCATATGATTGATTTAGTGAAGTTGATTAGTTATGTAATAAAAGATTCGGATCTGACTCTGACAAACAATTAAACCGATTTTTTAGATGCTATGTAAGTCATTTAAAGTGGTACCCCTGGCTGGAAACGTGTGAAATACACCGGTTGCTTCCCGAGGCGCTCTCGGTGTTTGACCTGCACGCGATGTTGCTCACCTCAATCTGTGCACGCAGCCCATCGCACTCCTTCTTCAGAGCATCGATCTCAGCTTTCTCGGCTGCCATGGTAACAGTCGCTCAGGGACGTTAACTGATGGACAAAACAAACCGTCGATCTGGAAAAGAGGAGAGGAGAAAACGATAAAACGTCTTAGTTGTGTTGAGCATCGAGAGGTCAGCGCCTCTGCTGTCAAACTCCAGCCTTCAGATGTCCACCTTCAGTGAGCGACCCAGATACCGTGATCTGTTACACCATCACGTCTAGATTAGACATACACCTGACAGAGGTAATCCCTCCTAGAACCAAAGTTGTAATACAATTATCTGTCATACTGGTCCTGCCATGATATGCAGTGAAGAGCGGGAGAGATGAAGAAGAAGAAGAAGAAGAAGAAGAAGAAGAAGAAGAAGAAGAAGAAGAAGAAGAAGAAGAAGAAGAAGACTTCATTGAGACGTAATGACGAGAGGGGAAAACAGTGTTCACAGCAGGAAATAAACAGAAGAATGAGGAAGGCTTAACGGACAGATGGCACAAAGAACGGGAGGCACAGGATTGGAAAGAGGAAGAAAATAATATTTTTTATCAGGAAGCGAAATAAGAAGCATCATGTGATGTTGAAGCAGATCCCAGAACGGAATCAGTACACAAGTTTTATCGTTCAATAGTTCAGATCAACCATAAAACACCAGAGAATCACCAGCCAATGTCCTCTTTAATTGAATAACTTAATCTAACTAATAACTAAATAACTTTATTATCATCCCTTGTACGTGCAAACTGGTTCGGTAATAAAGTGAAGGAATGTGAGCAGCTTTGCCTTCGGTGCTGCTTTGGGATCAGCTTCTCATTTCCAGACATCCAGAGACTTTCTTCATTTTAAATCATTTGGGTACTTTGGGAACTTCCATCCGCTGTGTAAGTGGTTATTGTGGACCCAGACCAGAATAAAAAAAACTAAATTATGAACAGTGAGGAAATTAACCATGAAGCAGAAATGCTGAACATCACCAGGTTCAAACCTCCTAAACTTTTCTTCATTTGAAATCACCGTAAATTTAATAACAGGTCTTAAAATGTCCTCTGTACAGTCATTGTTTTCTGACATTTTACACACCAAACAGATCAATGGAGAAACCGATGAAAGGAATAATGAAGAAAGCAAGCTGCAGCTCACTGCAGTGGCGGGTTGAGCAGAGGAAGCAGGAGGCCGGAGGTGACAGGATGCAGGATGGAGGACATGGGAGGGGCAGCGGTGCTACTCGGCTTTAAATCCTGGGAAGCAGATCTTAAAGGAAGCTTTACCGGTCAAATCCCCTGTCATCCGATTACTGACTGCTCTTTACCCCGGGATCACAGACACCGGGGAGGGAGATGTGGAGCCATAGTCCGACATCGGCAGCTCCTCCTCTTGTTTCACGTAAGCGATGAAAGCTCTCGCATGAAAAGTTTCTACTCTGAATCAAAAACCTTTTCCAATTGAAAGAGTCAGTGAGAAAACAGCTCCCTGTTTCTGCAAAAGCAGCCCGAGCGCCGTCAGACCTGCAGAACTCTGCTAGCCGGGTGGCTGGAGAAGGTCTGACGCCGTGTGAGGGATCAGGCTGCAGCTTACCGACGCCAATCCTCTTGGTCCAAAGAAAACCTCCAAAGGGTTTAAGGAGCCGTTACTTTGGATGCGATGGTGCACACGACTGATTCTGTTGTTCTTCAAGATGCTTTTTTAGAAAAGTACCTGGAGCCTGTGGGCTGCAGAAGTGCGAGAAGCCTTCAGGAGGCCAAAGGTGGAGGATCCTCCATAGTATAAACGTCAAGCACATGAAATCCTTTGTGTGCCGACGCACACAACCTCCGACAGCGAGGAAGGACCTGAAAAGAGGGGGCAGAAGAAGCTCACCTTCTCCCACACGACGTGGTCACTTCTCTCCTTCTTCACCGAGTGCAGATGGTGGACCCAGACACCTCCGGCTCTGCTTAGGTTCCAAATATGCCAGGGTGCACTTCCTGCTCGCAGGCTCCTCCGACGCAGAATAAACGCAGCTCCCTTGTGAGAAACTCTCTCTTTCTCTCCCCCTTCCTCCACGGCGAAGAACAGATGAGGATTGGAGGGGATGAAGGAGATAAGGGATGAAGGGATAAAGCTCAAAGATGGAAATAGAGAGGGACGGGAGAGGCAGAGGGAAACACAGGCAGAGGGAGCAGGCCGAGAGGAGGCAGGTAAACCGATTGGAGGGAGAAATGAGGTTACAAGGTCAAAAGACGAAAGGGGTGAAGGAATAAAAGAAGAAGGCAGGAAGAGAAAGCGAACAGCTGGAGGTGAAATGTGAGAATATGGTACCGAGGGAAGGAAAGTGACCCATCAGACTCATTATGAAATATGAAAGGAAAATGCTGGTTAATACTACGAGCAACTGCTTTTTCATTGAGATTCAGGTGTAACGGCAAGAACTTAAAAAAAACTTAAAGTCCCCCTGAATCAACCTGTTCATAAGTTTGAGATCATTTTAACGTCTTCACTTGATTTGGGGGATTTGGACCCCCGGGGTCCTCTGACAAGCGAGAGGTGACATTGCGCCGCCTGCTTCCTGCCAGGAGGCCGCGATGGGTCGCCCGGCCGCAGGCTGGGACGGCTGGTTAGTCGGAGCTAATGAGTTGAGCCCGGTTAATCAGAGACTAACGGGATATCCGGGGACGGGTAATCCCGTTAGGGAATTAGAGCAGGTCAGGCCGGGCGTGCGTCATGCCTGACCTCAAGGGGGTCAGGGGTCAAACGCAGGCTTTTGTCACTGAACGAGACTTTTAGTGGATGCAGACATTGAGCCGGCGCACGAGGGGGGTTTCTCGTTGACCCACGGCAGGAAGTGGAGCGGGTATCTGATGTCTACGGTTAGATGTCAGTGACGGAGGACAATCCACCAGCATGAGGCCTCGATTACAGCGTCCACATAGACACTTGGTTTGAGACCCAGAGGTGTCCGGCCATTGGCCGAGGAGCCTGCTAATCCAGAGGTTTACCTCCTGCAGCACGGTGACATCATCGGCGGGGTCCGAAGGCAGTAAGCCCCGCCTTCTATCAGTGATTGGCGCCACGGGTTTGAGATGTCCAGGTGCTGCACGTTGGGTCCAGCAGTCCAAAGATACACACATTGTTTAAACTGTACGAAGGTCGTGTCACACTTTGTTAGGTGTCACATGTGTGCGTCTAGAGTCCATGTTAAGACTCGCTTCTTCTTCAATGACGTGATACTTAAGACACAAGACAGAACGTTTGTGCTTGTGATAAAATGTTCTGCGTGACTCACTTTTGATCTTATGGCGCGTTTCCACCGAGCGGTGCGGTACGGTACGGGTCTGGTCGGGTCTGGTCGGTACCCTGTTATTTGTGTCTCCACTGCCAAAAGTGAGAATGGTACCAAAAATCCGAACCGTACCGTACCACTCTTTGGGTACCCTTCCGTTGGGGTACCTGGCACAGTTGTTTGGCACTAAAGGGCGGAGCTAGACTCACTGCAGAGCGTTGATTGGTTGAAAGAGTGTCGTCATTTGCGCGTGCCGGAAGGGGAAAGACAACACACGTAACACACCTGCAGCGTGTAGCCTCCTTGTGGCAAACAGCCACATATCGAGAAGCAGGAACAGGATCGGCTGAACGTCCTCCATTGTTGTTTGCGGTTAGTTTCAGTTTTCGCGCGATCGAATGACGTCAATCTACTTTCCGTCATACACCACGCCTATCAAGTGAGGGTACTGTTGGCGGTGGAAACGCTCGCCAAATCATGGTTAACAGACCCGACCCGTACTGTGCCGTTCGGTGGTACGCTTTTTTCGTACTAAAACAGATGTCTATCTATCTATCCATCCATCCATCCATCCATCCATCCATCCATCCATCCATCCATCTATCGTCCGTCCGTCCGTCCATCCATCCATCCATCCATCTATCGTCCGTCCGTCCGTCCGTCCATCCATCCATCTATCGTCCGTCCGTCCGTCCGTCCATCCATCCATCCATCCATCCATCTATCGTCCGTCCGTCCGTCCGTCCATCCATCCATCCATCCATCTATCGTCCGTCCGTCCATCCATCCATCCATCCATCCATCTATCGTCCGTCCGTCCATCCATCCATCCATCCATCCATCCATCCATCTATCTATCACTGTATATGTGCTGATGTCTTTCTTTCGGGCTGTAATCTCGGTTAATGAGCTGATAACGAGCTCAGGATGGAAGAATGAACACAAACCGCACACACAACACGTCTGCTACACAATCGGCCTCATGTGAAGTCCGTTGGGCAGAAGTTAGAGTTTAACCATTGTGTTGTTTTACTGTCCTTTTAAAAAAAATTACTTTAGTTTGATTTTGTTTGGCTGGAACATGTTTTTGTTGTGTTTTTTTTTACAAACGTTTAAAAAGATTCATTAATGGACAGAAGACGGAGGACAGTGAGTCAGATGGTTAACATCATTGTTCTGTTAATACTTCTGCTTTATTTTCAGTCGACAGTCGAAGCCATTTTACATTTTGTTTGCAAAAATTTGAAACACACGTCCCCCGCATGTCCTCCACACGTCCCCCACACAACACGTCCCCCACATGTCCTCCACACGTCCTCCACACAACACGTCCCCCACACGTCCCCCACACAACACGTCCCCCACATGTCCTCCACACGTCCTCCACACAACACGTCCCCCACACGTCCCCCACACAACACCTCCCCCACACGACCCCCCCACAACACCTCCCCCACACGTCCCCCACACTACCCGTCTGCCACACGTGACCCACACGTCCCATACTCGACCCCCCCTCTCTACCACTTGTATAACTTAATAAACCGAGAAGAAGGAGTT